CACACATATTCATCCTCTTTCCTGCAGTCTTTAATTCCTGAGTGGATTTGTTTAGCCCAGGCTCCAGTGTTCTATTTGACTTTTTGTCTTTGTAGGTGGCAACAGAGTTCAGGACAGTGTGACAGGTTTGATTAAAAAGGGAGACCAGCTCCCCTGTGTTAAAATGTGGATTAAAGGCAGTTACAGAAGCAGCAGTTAAAAGCTCAGAAAACTTTGTGGCAGACAGTGAAAAAAAAACCTGGCAGCAGACTGGTATGGTGTGATTAAAAGGTAGTTGGGATAAAATCGCAATGAATAAAACTGCTTTGTGATCAAACACACAGATATCCTTAGTAGTGGTGTGTCGAGAGAGGATGGCTCTGGTGGCGCCGCCATCGTCCTAGCCCCCGCACTCCACGGAGTAGAGGGCTGCAATGGAAAAACAGGCATGGCCATTTTCAAAGACCTTGACCTCTGACCTCAGGATATCTGAATTAAAATGGGCCCCATGGGTACCCATGAGTCTCCCCTTTGCAGGCATTCCCACTTTACTCCTTCACTCCCCACGTGCATCAGTGAGCCTTGGCCACCCATGACCCTGTCTCCAGTGCACTGCAGACCAGGAACAAGAGCTGCAGGTTGGGAGATGCTCTGATCCAGTCATCTAGCCATCACAATGTGGCCCTTGTCAAAGCTGCTCAAATCCTCACGCTGCCCATTTTTCCTGCTTCTAACACATCAACTTGAGGACAAAATGTTCACTTGCTGCCTGATATATTCCACCCACTGACAGGAGCCATGATAACCAGATAATCAGTGTTATTCACTTCACCTGTCAGTGCTCATTAAGCTTATGGCCGATCGGTGCATAATCATGACATAAAGATCTTTTATTTATGAATTGATATTTAAAAGACCAAAATTTACAGGATTGCAATAAGGGCAGGGTGTAAAAGTGGTTTGATAGTGGTTGTGACTTTACATTTCCTGGTACCTGGTTGGAATATGATCTGGTTTTAAATGAATAAAGGAACTGTGGGGGGAGCTCTCATGGGAAACAGAATGCGGAGGTTGCGCCACATGGGGGAGACTGCACTGCATGCTGCAATAACATTAGCGATGGCTCTGTTCTACTCAAGTGTCCAAAATCAATGACCTTCCCATCAGCCTCAGCTGTACTAATCATACACCTTCAAATTAAAAATGGCTACAGTTTCCACCCATAGGTTTCTGAAGAGTTGTTGTGAAGCTCAGTGTGGTCGGCTCTGGGCGTCAGGGGTGAAGCTGAGGTGGGCTGAATGAAGCTTGGTCACTGAAAACAGCTGTTGGTGACGGCATCTACATATCACTCAAACTACTTTTCTTTATTACTTCCGTGTTGGCTTCATTTGCCAGCCCCGTTGGCGCTTGGTGCTAATTAGCGCATTTTAGCCTGCTAACAGGCTAATCTTCTATTTTTAAATGGTAAACATTGTACCTGATAACATGCATGACAGCATTGTCTTGGTGGGCATGTGAGCATTTGGCTCAAAGCACTGCTGTGCCTAAGTAAAGTCTTATAGAGGTGCTAGCATGGTGTTTTAGCATCTCAAGCATGCAGGCTGAATTGCTTCTCACATCTGGATCTACCAACAACCACTGTGTGGTTGTGAAACAGCTGGTAGCGTGTAGCCTCATTAGCCAACAGTTGATGTTCCTTTTCTTGAATCAGGTTCAGTTCCAGGTATCTTTGAGTTCTTTGAGTTTTAGCAGGGACGCGTTCACACATGTCTCTGCCCTACCACCTTATTCCTGCTGTTCTGTGCGTATCCTTGATGTTGGTATACAGAATATGACATACCAACAGTCATCTCTCACATATGTGCACAAAGCCAAACTAAACTATTTAGGGTGCACATATCTAAGGGAATAAACAAACTGACTACTACTACTACTACTGGATTCAGTATCTGTATACTGTATTATATAAGTTAAACTATAAATTAAACTTTCCATTTGTTATCATGATATATTTTATGAATTGAGCTTCATGAGGACAAAGCTGCCCTCAGAAACAGCAGAGCTCTTCAGCAGCAGCTCACAGTGTCATGTAACCAGAGCAGCAGCCTTAACTACTGTCATTGCCCAATTACTTGTTGGTTTTCTTTAATAACGAAAGCTAATTTATTTGGTTTAATAAATATGTATAATAAAGGTTAGGTGTCTTTGTAAAGTAGTTGGTTTGAGTGAGCAGATATGGATATGAGAATCAGGCCAGAGAGGATTCTCAGGTTCATGGATATCATACTATACATGTGTTTGTGGTCAAAACGACAATGTTGTGTCAATGACAACAAATGTATTTATTATATATCATACGTGAATAAACAGGCAATGTAACAGAGCTATTTTTTAATCATAATAATGACCTATTATCATGACTGAGTTTATTTCCCACAATCTACCTGTTAATTATTAACCACTCAACAATTAACCTGATCCTCAACCATACCTTAACCAAAGTTCAAATGTGCAGATATTGTAGAAATCATTCAATGATAAAACCAATAATGCATCAAAACATTGTAATTAAAAATAGAATAATGTCCAAGCCCCAAGAATACATCTGATAAGTATTCATTTATCTTGTTGAATTCAATTACAATTTTTATTCGATAAAAATACATAGAAAATATGTCTGTGCTGTGTGTTCAGTCACTTATCGTTTCATGTGCATGTCACCGCAGCAACTGCGCTTTCCATGGTACTTACTGTGTACTGTCACAGATACAGATTAAAGGACATAGATCTGAATGGGGGGGAGGGGGTAATCTCACCTACGGCAATAAAATGGCTAGAGCTAGCCCTTGTTATCTTTGAGCCTGGAAGTTTATTGTCTAGATGTTCATGATCAGTCAGTGTAGAGCTACACAAATCTCCAGTTGGCCCAGAGAACTTTGAAAAGTCTGAATAGACATTTTTACTGTGGCAAAATATGAGATAGTGAAAATATCACACAGTGTGTGCGCAGAGCCTGCAGAGGAGTGACTTCTGTACTGAGTAGGTTCATGGTTATACAAGTGTAACAGGTGCACTTTGGTCTGTTTTGAAAGTAGGACAGCAGTGCAGGAAATGACCAGATGTAACTGGAGTGACCCTACCACTGATGATCCACGTTGTCAACAACACACAACAAAAAGAGATTTAGACTCAAGTCTTGATTTTCATTATTTCTGTTAAAGACACCCCAGGGCTGTACACAGAGTGAAAAACGTGTGAGAGTGCAAATGTTCGAGTCCATGTTGGACTCCACAGTGCAAAATGAAGCATGCATCATGAGTCACCCTATATACAGGATACTTCACAGGTCCACCTAGTCAGTGATCTAGGGTTATATGAAGTCAATTTCCAGCAGGTCAAGTCATTACTTACACATCAGAATAATATAGTTCATATAGTGGCTTAAATGAAGAATTAGACCTTTTTTTTGTGACTCTGTTGTCTATATGTCTTTCTATACCAGTAGCTCCCATTTCAAGTGTGCAAGCTAGGATATACTGTATATATATATATATATATATATATATATATACAGTATATCAGTAGTTTCATGAGAATGTGTGAATGCTATGGAACTATATTATTCTAAATAATTTTGAATAATAAAATAATAATTTTGAATTTACACTTGTCACAAACAACTAGATTTATTTGTTTGCTCTGACAGTGAACTACAGTTTTGATAAATTAATAAAGCTGTTTTTCCTAAAATAGCATAATTTTTCATGCTGTAATGTTTTTTCCAGCTTTGGACAGATGAATATAATCCAGCTGTCATCTTACATAAAAAGGCTTTTCAACTCTTATTCTTCCATCCATTCTTTACCGTTATCTCCATCCCAAATACTGCTGCTACAGTACAGTTCCATCTAAAAACTTTTAGAAATTTTTTTTAGTTTTATGTTAGTTCTAGTTTGTTTTATTTTACTTGTATTAATTACAATTATCATTATCATTATTACATCCATTGTCATAATGGATACATCTATATCGTTTGTTTGCCGCTTGTGACATGTGTTTTACGCTAGAATAAAATAAAGTTTATAACTCTGCTAATAAGCAACTCGTTTACCTCAGGAAACTGAAATGTGCATTTTCCCATTGTGGAATTACTTTTACTGGAGAGTGTCTGCCACTGTCAGTTTTAGTGTAGAATATAGTAGTGTACAGTTATCTGAATCAGAATCAGAAATACTTTATGGATCTCCAGTGGCAAACTGGGTTATGTTACAGTTGTTAAAAAAAATAGAAAATAAGAATAAGATATATTTATAAATATATGCATTATACTACAGTATATAAAAATATATAAAAAAACGGATTTGCATATAAAAAATAAGAAATGAAAACATAGGTATATACTACAATATATAACAGTGTAATAAATAACACTATTACAACTACTACTTATAATAATAACAATAACAATAATAATAATAATAATAATAATAATATTAATAATACCACCAATAACAATAACAATAATAATAATAATAATAATAATAATAACAATGCTGAGAAATGTCTCTATGAATAAGTGTGCTAATACCAGAATAACATTATACAGTATAACTGTAGTAAAGTCCAGTAAAAACCCAGCGACAGGCGACTACACATATAGTGGAAAGGTAAGGTTTAAGTTACTGCGTGGCTACGCTATAAAATGGGGGCGGGGTCACTCTTTATATTGAGTACTTTTGCCCTATAATTAGACTATCAGGCACTCGTGTCCTAGCCTGCCCATTACAAATTACCCTTACCCCTTCTCTCCCAAAACTGGCGCACCCCCCTAACCCAACACTGGCCCCGGTCCTGACCATAACACCTCCAATCTAACCTTAAACATCGAATATGTGACGTTCACTCCGTGTTGCGCACGTTCTGCGCCCCTGGCTGGCAACACTCAGGGCCCAAACAGCCCATAACATTCCTCCGTTCCTCCTCCACTGAATGGGCGTATCTGTAGCCGCGTAGTGATAAGAAGTGAAATGAATGTGCGTGGTGTAGTTCAGAGCGAAATATAGCGGAGATGTCGAGTAAAGCGGAGTATGACTGCATAGTGATCGGGGCCGGAGTCCAGGGCTCCTTCACGGCCTATCAGCTGGCAAAGAAGAACAGGAAGACTCTTCTGCTGGAGCAGGTGTGTCATACAAAACTTTGTTCCATGGGATCTGTTATGGAGAAGCACCGTTAAGACAGCAGAAGATACACCAGTACTCAGCCATAGTCGGGGGTGGAATTAGATTGAAGTTCTTGCAGGTACTTCTGAACCTTCATTCCTGTCCTCCTCTCGCCCCGAGCTTCATTCTATGGAAGCCCATTTCCGTCAATGTGACGGGAAAAAATTATGTAACTCAAAATAAAAGTAAAGTAAAGTAAAATATATATATGTTTATAATATAATGATATTATATATTATGACTTCACATCTCAAAATAATGACATTGTCAATGATAAGTCATTATTTTAAGGTATTGAGATGCCAAGTCAATATTTTGACTTCTCATTATAAGTAAGTAAGTAAAGCTTTATTTATATAGCACCTTTTTGACACATAGATCCAAAGTGCTTTACAAACAACAAATATACACATGGGTATAACCATACCCAATCACATGAAGATAAAACAAGAGGGAAGGATAAATTAAAAGAGAGACTACAGATGAGGAAACAAACAAGGAGATCTATAAAAAGGCTTGTCTGTAGAGGTGGGTTTTGAGGAGCCGCTTAAAACAGTCCACAGATTCAGTGAATCTGAGTGGTTGGGGAACACTATTCCACAGTGTTGGGGCTAAAACAGCAAAGGTCACCTTTAGTTTTACAGGTAGAGCGGGGAATGGATAAAAGGCAGAGATTTGAGGAGCGAAGTGGCCGAGGAGTGGAATGAGGAACAAGGAGATCTGAAATGTAACTGGGGGCAAGGTCATGAAGTGCCTTATATGTAATCAGTAAGATCTTATAATTGATTCTGAATTTTACAGGAAGCCAATGAAGGGATGCGTGAACAGGAGTAATGTGGGACCGACGGCTGGTTCTGGTTAAAAGTCTGGCAGCTGCATTTTGGACTAACTGTAAACGATTTAACAAAGCCTGACTGAGGCACGTGTAGAGGGAATTACAGTAATCTAGACGGGAGAAAATGAAGCTGTGAATTATTTGTTCAAGATCACTGGATGACAGGAAACATTTGATTTTTGCTACATTTCGTAGCTGCAGGAAACAGGACTGGACAAGTTTTGTAACATGAAGGTCAAATGTCATACACTGGTCGAAGATGATACCCAGATTCTTAGCAGTGGGTTTGATATTAGTGCGTAATGGTCCAATAAACTGATCAACTGCAGTGACAAAGTTTTCAGGGCCAAATAAAATTACTTCAGTTTTGTCAGGATTAAAGTGGAGAAAATTAAGAGACATCCAGTCACTCATGGAGAGAGGAAAGTTGATTCAGGTTATTGGGTTTCGCAGAAAAGTAGATCTGTGTATCATCGGCATAACAGTGGTATGGAAGCGGCTGAACAAATGACCCAGAGGAAGCATGTACAGGGAGAACAGAACTGGACCAAGAACCGACCCCTGAGAGACACCACATAGCAGGGCAGCGGAAGAGGAAACATGATTCTTAATGCAGACATTAAAGATTATTTTAGTCAAATAGGAATAAAACCAGTTTAAGGCTGTACCAGAAATGCCAACCCAGTTCTGTAATCTATCAAGTAAAATGGCATGATCAATGGTATCAATGGCTGCAGTCAGATCAAGAAGAATAAGGATGGAGTTTTCACCTTTGTCAGCATACATAAGGATGTCATTAGACACTCTCAGTAATGCTGTCTCTGTGCTATGTTTTTGCCGAAAACCAGATTGGAATGTGTCAAAGATTCTATGACCCTCTACCAGTTTCAGGAGCTGGTCCGCAACAACCTTTTCAAGGATTTTAGACAGAAAGGGAAGTTTGAAGATTGGTCTATAGCTTTCTAACTGGTCTGGATTGAGAGAGGGTTTTTGAAGAAGTGGCTGAACACTGGCAATTTTAAAAAGGTCAGGTACGGACCCTGATGTGAGAGAGGAATTGATGATAGAAAGCAGGCTAGGACCTAAGACAGGCAGTATGGTTTTTAAAAGTGTTGTAGGAACTGTGTCACAGGGACTGAAGGAGGGACGCATATTATCAACAGTTTTTAAAAGGATCTGTAGAGACATAGGAGCAAAATCAGACAGTAAAATAGGATGACTGAACGCTTGGCCTTCCTATATTACCTTCTTTGTTGACTAATGTTGTTGTTGATCCAAGAAGTTCTGGGACAGCCCTGGATGTACATGGAGTGGAAAAATCAAGGGCTGATGTACACAAATTATTAAACTAGCTAAACTAAAATTTGATAATTTATATTGAAAAAGTAAGGAGGAGAATTGGTTGACTAGAAAGATGGCTACAAAATGTGGCTGCTGACTGATTATTAAAGATGCAGAGTGGATTATACGTTTCTGGGATGGTAAAGCAGTTGTAAAAATGTCTATCAAATGTAATACATTTGTGGTCATAGACAAAATCATGCATATTCAGGGGACTAAGAGACAGATCCAGAGTAAAATCTAAGTCAAGCGTGTGCCCACAGTTATGTTGCTGCACAAGATTAAAAGATTTACAAATGTTTAAGAAGTCTGTGGCAAATGGATTTGAAGTTTTATCAATATGAATGTTAAAGTCACCAGCTATAATGGCCGTATCAAATTTGAGCACAAGAGAGAACAGTAACTCAGAGAATTCATTGAGGAAACCACTACTGGAGTTGGAATTGGGGGGACGGTAAATGATTATAAAGCAGATGGGGTCTTTACACACAATTTTAAAAGTTAAGATTTCTAAACTGTTAAAAGAGCCAAGGCTGAGTGGAACACAAGTAAGATGGTTTTTAAAGACAACTGCAATACCCCCACTCGGCCTGTTAGTCTTGGTGAATTTAAAAATGTAACTGGGTGGGCAGAGCTCCACAAGCGGGGAGCACTCCCCAGGTTTTAGCCAGGTTTCAGTAAGAAACATAAAATCAAGGTTATGGGATGTAATTATATCATTGAGAATGAAGGATTTATTAGACATAGACTGTGCATTCAGAAGAGCACAGGCAACTGGAATAAGGGGTTTAGCTGGAGTGGAAATACCACAGTAAACCGTAACCAAATTATGAGATCTAACAGTAGAAGAGACAGAGTGCGTAGAGTAGTGGGTTTTAAATCTAGGCATGATTCTGACAGAAATACTGTAAGAGCGTGGGGGGGTACAGTCAAATGGAGTCATTGCAGATCAGGATATACACGACTTACTGAATCTTTGGAAGAAATGGGCTTCCATATCATACAGTACATCCCTGAACACACACATTCAGTCTTTAACGCCTGTATGGTGCAGAAAAAAATTAGAAACACCCAAGGATGATTTAGGTGTATTTATACGGAAGATTATTAGGGCCATTTGTGAAAAATGTATTGAGTTCTGAGTTTAAAGTTAAAAGTCTGAGAATAAAGTGAGTGGCTGGGGGTGAGGGTTAAATAAGGTGAACCCTTTCCCCTTTATAACACGCTGTGCATATTTACGCATGAGGCACAGCAGCGTTTTAGTTGATGATTAAAACCTCCCACACGCCAACAGAATCAGTCAGGATGTAATGTTAATGATTGTTTTGTGTTTTTATCCACAGATCATGAAGTATGTGTCTCAGCTTTCCAGTCATTCTGAATTTATGCAGTTCCATCCAGTGTGTTTATAGAAACCAGTATGCAGAAATATTCACATACACTACACATAAATAACACTTTTTTGCCACATATATAAATCTGCATGGTTTTGTCCTAAAACTGCATGGGATTAGCGTAAAGTGGACATGTGTGATTAATGGAGACTTGTGGGTACCCATAGAACCCATTTTCATTTAGATATCTTAAGGTCAGAGGTCAAGGGATCTCTTTGAAATGGCCATACCGTTTTTCCATTGCCAAAATTTGCTGGCGTTTGTAGTGGAAAATCAGATTTCAGGGGTGGCCAGCTGTTTGACCTAAATTAAAAGGGAATATATCTTACAGGGACTGGTAGAGGTGGAGTGAAGTGTCCATGTTGGTCAGGGTCTCCAAGTCCACATTCAGACTGCAGGCCAAAGAGACCCGAGATTTTCATGACAGTGTAAACCGCACAAATCCCATGCAATCTGATCTTTCAATTCTAATTTGGGCACTTTCATATGTGATAGCCTAAATCTGAAAAAATAATTTGTAATAATTCTGGATCAATTCCTAACAATTCTGGAACAATTTCACAAATCTGTCAAAATAATCACAATATAATGTTTTTACCATATCGTGCAGCCCTAGTTAGCAGATGTGTTTTATTGTTGGATATGTGATTGTGACAGTTGTTGTATGTGGGTTTTGGCCAGCAGCTGCTGTCCGTTCCTACCGGTACTTAGGTTTATATCACATGACCAGTTGTGCATGAATAGATTAAAAACTAATTTGTATCAGGGGTAGTTGACTCAATATCCCTCTCATAAGTGCTCTTGCTGGAATCTTGCGTCCAAGTAAGTGGTCAAAGACATAAGTAGTGTGACCTGTGAAAGTCATATCTGGCTGCTCCTCACTGAGCTGCAGGCAGCAGCTGGCATTATTTGGCATTCATGCATTGCCTGGCAGCTATCTATTCCTGCTGCGCGTGGCCGAACATGGCATTCTGTTACCTAACACGTGCTTACTACTCTGCTTTGATTAATCTCAAACCCCTGCTTCAACAACCAGAAGTGGATCTGGAGAAATGTTCATGGGGTGTTCAGACGGTGGCATGGAGACTTTAAGGGGTGGCAGAAATGAATACTGATTTAATCACATATACCAGCCCCCAGATGAAGATATTTGTACTCAAAAACAGTATTGTGGCACATTAGTAAAGCAATGAATACAAAATATATAAAGGTGAATAGAAATCAAACCATTGTTTTATTTCAAAATCTTTCAATTAATCAATTTACATATTTTTCTAAATTCATTTTTCCTTGAATTTAAAGGTCCAGTGTCTAGGATTTAGTGGCGACTAGCGTTGCAGTTGCAGATTGGATATCTGTTGCGTCAGTGGCCATAAAATGCACAAACACT